TAATCTTGAACAATAATATTTCATTAACCATGGCTTACTATATTTTAAAATTATAAAAATACCTATTAAATCCTTTATGACAAATATTGCATGTAAAGTCTTTTATTCCAGTGTGTAGCTTCATATGACTAAAAGAATCATATATATTTTTTTCTATAAGTCTATAGTTTTATTGATCAAATAATTAACTAACCTTTGTAAATGCTTTGAAAATTTGAATGCTTTTTGGCAAGTTTGGCAAACATATTCTCTTTGGCCAGAATGAATCTTTTTATGAAGCAGCAAATTACTACTTTGCGTGAAGCTTTTATTGCAGATATCACATTTAAAAGGGCGCTCACCTGTATGTGAACGCATATGTATTGTAAGACCTAAAAAATTATACTACAAATTTGTCATGAAGTTATATAAGCATTGATAATAAATTCATCCCAAAACACATGTTGAATTATATAAAATAAGTAAACAAACCTAACCTGATGATTGCATAAATCCTTTGCCACAAACTTGACAAATAAATGGCTTTTCACCAGAATGAACTCTTAAATGCATCAGCAAGTGACTGTGTGATGCAAATTTATTGATGACATATTTTACATTCATGATTCTTTTTCTGGTTATGAATTCTTTTATGTTGTATTCTATGCTTTTTCGATTTAAATAATTTTCCACAAAGTTCACATTTTCCTATTTAATTTGTTTTAATTAATAGATATTCAATGGAACTCATAATCATTTATTTTAAATTTATTAATCATTATTTTTACCTCTTCATTAGCTTCAATTCTGTCATTTTCATAAGTCTTTGGTTGATTTGTTGAGTTCAGTTTAAGTGGTTTTACACTTTCAAGCTGATTATCGGAACTGTTAGCAATGGCTATATCAGATTCTTGTGTTCGATTAATATTTATTGTAATTTCATTATATCTCTATTGTGCAGTTTATTGTTTAAATCATTTGTACCAATAATATTATCAATATTTGGTTTTCGATCACTGCTACTCAGTACAGATTTTTTATTAATATTGAAAGAAGCTGAGTTTTCACCAGTAAGTTCAGATTTATGGAAATAGCCAATATTAGTATAATGTATCTATAGAATTACAGAATTAAAATTAATTTCTCTACATCAAATACAAAACTAATTCAAAATCCCACATACATGAGAATATTCTTTTCTATTTTCCATGCAAGAAGGATTATTCATTGTAGATTAAGAATTTGGCGTAACTGATTATCAGTTGATTCACATTGCATTTTGAAATTGTATGCTACTTCTAAATGTCATGACATTTTTGCAAATCGATCCTGGTAAGCCATCACTCTCACAAATCTACAATAAAAATTATATATTGTTTACCAAACATAGGTGTTGATTTTTTTAAAAAGGCTAATTATGTAGTTATCAAACAATACAAGAATTGAAACCAAGAACGAACTTCCAAAAATATTGTCAATTAAATTAATCATACCTGTACTAATGTACATGCCATAATTTTTGTCCATAATTGAACAGCATTATTTCCTATAGCAAACAATTGTGACCCAAGTGATGTATCAGCAATTGGAGCTAAACAAACTCGACAAATATCATTTATATCCAATATAGCAGTTATTTCCATTTTGTATTATAACAGTTATTTTATAAAAAATCTATTTTTGTTATATTTTCGAATATTAACCTTGTTATACAGTTTATAAAGAACTGTCAGATTAAAATTGCATAGGATCATAATAAGCTTTACCAACTTAATAAACTTGACACTTGACTAACTTCACGATCTTAGAAACCAATATGAAGTTGTAAATGTCAAGTTCTTGTCAAGTTTTAAAATAAAATATTACAAAAGTGGAATATATATTTTATATTTTTTAAATATATTTATAAAAAAATAAATGCATATTACTTCTACTAAATAATTTGATTTAATTTGGTACAGTCTATTTTCAATAAGAAATCAAAATGCAAAGTTTACTTAAAAGACAGGTTAGAATACTTTATAAATGAAATATTTGTGCAAAAATAATTCAAATTTCTTAATTTTAGTTAATTAGTACAGTGCAAATTTTAAAAATATCACTAGAACATCAATAGTTAGAAATAATTCAGCTTCAAGTTATTATGATCCAGATTATCTTCATGTAAGAGAATATTATAAATAAATGTACCATTTGCAATTGAATAAACCCATTAAATATTTTGTAGGCTTATGAACCCGATGTACCAGAATATGATACTGTTAACATTCAACTCAAAGGCTATGATTTTGTATATTAGAAAATTATCAGAAACTTGTACATCGTATTGCAAAATCATTAGAATTAGATATTAATGATGGGTAGGTGGTAAAATATATAAATCATGATTTAATTCTAAAATTACTTACATGCAAAATATCCAGGTGGGCTACGCCTGGGCAATACTTTAAGATTCAAAAATTAAAACCAAAGAGTTCAGCTATTGAAACCGAATACCAGCTTTGCGTCTATGAAAGAAATGTTCAGGTAATAATGTCATTTAAGTGCTCAAAAATTATTTTGATTTATGTTACTTATATAGTTGTTTTGTGAAATTAGATTTGTGATTTACCTCTACAAAATATCCGGTGCTTCTAAGGCTGTTGCAAGCGTCATTACCTCAAGGTGTAACATTAAATGTACATGAACATTTGGAAGAATACGAAGAGGTCCGATATGTTCCAGATAAAGAATTAATTGAACTTAAAACACAGCTTGAAAGTATGGAAATCACTAAAAATAATAGAGAGTTTTTTAATAATATTTAGTGTTAATTATTTTGATTTTTAAAGTTTAATTAATAAAGAATTAATAATTATTTTGCATTTTTATTAGAGTTAATTATATAGTAAGTTGATTTTTTATTTTGGCTGAAATTCTCGTTATCAAAAAGCTCTTGTTGTTGATAATTTTATTATCATATCAATAAACAAATAACTATTTTGAATTACCAAAGATTAAATATAGGTTTAATAGATAAATATCATTACTTAATAAAGTTCTAATCTATTATTATTACATTGAACATGAAAAAATGTTCTATTTTATTTACAATATGATAACTTAGTTTTAGTATACATCACATCCAATAAAAAATACTAGAATGAAACTGTACATAATTAAAAAAAAAACGTTATTCTCACTACATTAGTTTATTTAAATTATCTATTTTTTTTAATAATAATAAGGCTGCATCTCCTTGTTTTATCAATCCTACAATTCATCTGATTAAAATTTAATTCAATCATTTTGAATGGTATAAAATAAACTGATTGTAATGAGAGTCGAATTAAAATATTAAAAGCCTTGAATATTGAATAAATAATTAGTTATTTTAACTCTGATATTTATATATACCAAGAATTTTAAATAAATTTGATATTTATTATATCGTTTTATAGTATTTTTCCTATGGTTTACTAGTTAATATATGAATATATTAGACCTATAATTTATATACATTTAATATGTAAAGATACATATAGGTACATATACATAATAATAATATGGAATAATATTAAATCAGTCACCATTTATGGTTTCTTATATATTACATTATAGATAGTTTCGAATCAGATAATTTAAATTTATCATTTCATTTATATGTTTTTACATTAATTTTTCAAATTTGATATACTGAAGTAAATTAAATCAAATACTTAGTAGACATAATATATATAATATTTATTATAAATATGGCAAAAATCGGATCACTTAAATGTCTACGATATAATCAAATAAATTGATTCATCACAATTAATAAATTCATGAGACATCATTTTATATTTGTATGACTATCAATTATTTCGTCATAAAGACATAATATGCTTTTTAAAGATTTTTTTTGCAATAAAACTATACTTTGTTAGTTTTATTTAACCGTAATATTTTATGCAAAATTTACTAGTATATTCCAGTGCATTGTATCCTGAAGAGATTCAGAATGAAAAATGAAAAAATATTGATATGTTCATATTAATTACAAATATTTTGTGTAGAAATAATATTTTTTTCCATTACAAATAATGGCAGTTATGAAGTACGCGAATATTTGCCGCCAGTACAAAAAAATATATTATATACAACTTACAAATTACATTGTGTAATGAATTTCAAACCTGTATATTTAAATATCCATATAATTCTCGCACATGTTTAAATACCTATTAATATGAATTGACTTGTTGAAAAGTTCCATAAATTTATTATGAACTATTTAATGTACGTCAATTCATAAATAAATATATTTTGGATCCATCGTGATATTCTAAATATTATTTTTATTAATTTTCGTTATTTATACCTTTGTGTAGAAACACACATGGATAAGATTTTTGGTTAATATATTAATTATATAATTTTATTCTAGAATTAAGCAACACTTAAAATTTGATAAACTAAAGCTAAAATTTGAACACATTCACTCATTTTATATACATAGTCATATTGCTTATTATATACACTCATAATTTCTCTCAATATGATGTGAAATGGCATCGGCAGTAATAATTTAGCGAGACTTAATCATAGAAGCATGCATAATATTTTTTAACCTTGGTCTTAACTCAATGCTTCTCTTTGAACAATTGCTCTCATATTCTGCCATTATTTCAAAATTGCGTAAGACTTTAAAGTGCTATATCGATGAACGCAAATTTATCTACACTTATTCAAGTAAAACTGTACAACAATATAACTACATTTATAATTTTCCAAAAATTTATAATTCCCCATCAGAATCCGATGGTGGATCTAACGCCGTATGTAACGTTAATGTGACCCCGCGGTTAACGCTAATAGCTGGATAAAAAACGCCGTACAAATCTCTAAACGCAATTCCACCATGTGGAATTTCGTTAACATAAAAGGTTAGCGTATGCCTTTCTAAATCAAGGAGAACCCCAACAGTAGAACCAGTTTGGATGCCACCCTCAGCTCGACGTTCATGTGTCGAATCATGCTGGAACCAGGATCGATTACGATCGATGTACATGGCCCAGGCTTTATCGTCCTTGCCTGATAGAAATAAAAATTCATATTAAACAAGCTATTATTAATTAAGATAACTACGCTCTGGATTGTGTGAGACTGGCCCGGGATACCACCACGCGTCCAGGATATTGGCAGATTATTTTTTCCGGATTCAAGTTGTAAAAATTGATTCGTCAATCATCTTTTTATTATCTGACAATGAGTGTGAAATTGATGGTAGGATATCAAAAGTACATTTTATGTATAATATATGTTTTGTTAGTGCGTAGGTGTTTGATGAATAATTGTTCGCTTTTTAAATATTTGTTTAGTTTGTCCTATGTACGATAAATATTTTTCATAAACGATATTTAAGTTATTTGACTAAATTATGCCCCCTCCCCTCGATTACTTACTTCACTTATTACCATATATTATTACAGTAGAATCCGATTAGTATGACGCCGGATATATTGGCAACCGCTTAATACGACGTAATCGCACTAGTAATTTGGTTTCCATATAAAATTCCTTAAAAAAACAGCTGTCTAGTCGGATATATTGACATCGCTTACATTGACATGTCGCTTATAATGACCCATTTTTGCAAAAAATATGCCCAATTATAATGACCGACATGATTTTACATGATGTGGCCCAGTCTACGAAAGCAATTGCTATGTCTTTTGTGCTAAATAGCACCAGGGACTGTTTTTACAATAAAATTATGTAAAGAAATCAATCAAAAATTACTGATTACTTACATTAAAAAAATTTGTATATTTATGGGTAGGGTAGACTAATTATTAATGGCCCACCACGGATATCTCATAAACAAATAAAATTAGATTTTTTTTTTAACAATTATATTTGATAGTAGAGGGCGAAAAATGTATAAATTCATAACCAGCCATCACCTTAATTCTTATGACTTTGCTATCAGAAGATAAGCAGCACATGAGTGCGATAAAAAGGACCAGCCGAACCTTTACTTTGGCAAAGGTGTAAGCAATAAAATAGTAAAGTTTAAAAAAAAGCAATTTTACAAGTGATTAATTCAATAAATTGTTATTCCGGCTCTTCTGATGAATATTTCTGACCAATAGCAGATCAATGTAATATACTGGGTAGTCTTTTTAACAAATGTACCCACAGAATTAATATTTTGCATTGGTTCAATAATGTAGCGTAAAATGCCTTTAAAATTTAATAGAAGAAATTGCATCTGCTCACCCACTGGTTGTTCCACTTTACCCCGTATGTGAGGTAAAATGGGTCAGATACCAAATGTTTAAAAAATAGTAAAAAATATAATATTTATATAATTAGGAATTATGTATGTATGTAAGTTTTTCTGAACATGGTTCGACAGATGCTTCTTTGATGTATGTTATAAGTTGTTCATTGGGTTTAGACAGTATAATTACCGTAAGTCAAATTGGACCGTTGTGCCCCCGCCCTACCCTATGTCAATTTTATTTAATATTAAATTTTAATGTGTCATTTTTTTTTGATTAAAGCGTTTGTATAGGCTTTTCTTTTAAATTACTAAAACATGTAACATATTTGCATATTGAAAAGTTTTTCTTCAGTACGTTTTTAACGACGACCGGTTAGTATGACAAGATTTCGGCGTCCCTTCGATGTCATACTAAGCGGATTCTAATTTCCTTATTATTATTATTACTATTATTCTACTTACCTAACATCTTATCTCTTGCAACATCTATCCTGGCAACGCCAAATGCTGGATCAGTATCGGTGTCATAGCGTTCGATCGTGAATTCCCAATAATGGACTCCCCTGCTGAAACCGACGGAACCCAGGGCGACGCGGTGCTCCCAGCCGTCGGCCGCAACCGTCGCATGGTCCGACGAGTACTGCAGGCCAGGAGACAGCAATGGGTCGAAGGTAAACCACGCCACTGGAAAAGGTTAAAGGTAAGTGAAAATTAAAGAAAAAAAGAGTAAGAGGAATTTCATAGCGCGGATGAAGTGAATATAGAAATTTTAAGTTGTTTTTAGTGAACTCATGTTGATTCAGACAAATTTTATTTTTGCGTTATCTACAGTTCGCAAGATTGCGTTATTTATTGCATTACCATTTAAGAATAGAGCAATATCCTAATATAACCAAATTAAAATACAAAATGTTTATGATCTATTTTTTTCATATTTTGTCCAAAAACCATAGAAATTGTAGTGCAGTTTCAGCCAAATTATAGCATTTTCAAGCATTTTGCAATATTTTTAAACAAACTACAAGATTTTCTACAATTTACAACATTTTCAGACAATCTGTAAAACTAATTTAGATCTAAATCTGAAGTTACACTTTTACATTAACATATAAATAATATCTATTAATAATTTTAACTTCTAAACTTTTGTTTTGGAACTATACTTGTAATTTTTGTTTTGTTAGATAAACATAAGTAACATTTTTGTTGTATTTTTGTTGATGAAAGTGGGGCACATAGACAATAAAATAATATATTTCTGAAGATGCTCACCATGGCCAAGAAAAATCTATAACTTTTTAGACAATGTACACCATTTTCAGATAATCTACAATATTTTTAGATCGGCTCCAATATTTTCCGACAATCTACAATATTTTCATATAGACTCCAATATTTTTAGATAATTTACAACAATTTCAGACTTTCTACAATATTTTCAGACAGTATACAAAATTCTCAGACAGTATAATAAATTTTCAGACAGTATAATAAATTCTCAGACAGTAGACAAAATTTTCAGACAGTATACAAAATTTTCAGAGAATCATCAATATTTTCAGAGAATCATCAACATTTTCTGAGAATCATCAACATTTTCATACAATCTACAACATTTTCAGACAATCTAGAACATTTCCAGACAATCTGCAATATTTTCAGACAATCTGCAATATTTTCAGACAATCATCAATATTATCAAACACTCTAGAAATTTTTCAGAGAATCAATATCACTATTTTCAGAAAATCATCAATATTTTCAGACCATCTACAACATTTTCAGACAATCTACAATATTTTTAAACAGTCTGTAATATTTTCAGACTATCATCAATATTAGCAAACACCCACAGATAAACAAGTATAATTGCAAATATTGCAAACACCCTACAAATTTTTCAGGAAATCAAAATTTTCAGAAAATCTACAATATTTACAAAAATCTACAATGTTTTGAAACAATCCACAACATTTTCAGACTATCTGCAATATTTTCAGACAGTATTCAACATTTTCACACATTCTACAACATTTTCAGATAACTTGCAATATTTTCAGATAATCAGTAATATTTTCAAACAATCTGAAATATTTTCAGACATTTTTGACATCAACATTTTTGGATAACCTACGACATTTTCAAACAATTTAGAACATTTAAGATAATCTACGACATTTTCAGGCAATTTTTGTTTTGTCTCATTCTATTTCAGACAACTTAGAACATTTTAGACAATCTACAAAATTTTCAGGCAATTTTCGTTTTGTCTCATCCTAATTCACCTCCCTAGGAGAGCCAAAAGTTTAACACCTTGTAGGAAATGTTATTGAACGTTTCAGTAGAAAAATAATTAACAATTGATCATAAAAATTGGTAATACATAATAAAGCTAGAAAAAATCTTCTGATTTCAAAAATCTGTGAGGGTTTGATTTCAAATCGTAAGTGAACGTGAGATTCTACTGAAGCTAGAATGGTAGCAAAAAGTCATTGTGCAGAATGAGTAAAACATTATAATGTTATAAAGTTACTTAGTCCCATAAAAAAAATGTATGTTTTTCTTAAAAGAAATCTGCAGTTACTTAGTTGCCTAATATATCGCCTTTTTCAACACATTTCATTAAATCAATCCAGTAACAGATAAATAAATTCTTAATTTGTTTGTTTCTTGATTTTTTCCACAAAATTCTATTATCATTATCTTACCTTCAGCAGTTTGTAATCCTATAAGTTCGCTGTATTCGCCTTCTCCAGTGCCGTTGAAAGCTTTAACGCGAGCGTTGTACATGCAATGAAAATGTAATCCATCTACTGTGCATATCGTCTCCTTGCCGCAGTAAACTTCCTGCAACAACAACATGCGCCTCATTAGTATTTAATTATTATTAATGTAGGACCAGAACTGGGCTTCTTGAAATCAGGACAGGACGGGGCAGGGCTGCCATGGTAATAGATAATAAATGCTATTATTGTACATTCATAACAACTTTGATAATGGACATATTTTAATATCTTTTGAACAACTTCATAGTATCTATAATTGCATCAGATTGATTTAATTTATTTTCCTAATTTAACTGTGGACGTCAACGTTGACCAGTACAAAACACAGAACGTAATATACATGGTGTCCTAAGATGTCCTAACTCCTAAGATATCCTAAGATCGCGTCCAAACTTAAATGATTTTTTAAAAATAAAATCAACTTTCTACAATTATAGCATCATAGTGGTTTCAGCTAATATACAAGACAATTATTAATCCAATATGGTCCTACGGCCTACAACTATGGGGTGCGGCCAGTAAATCGAACATAACTATTGTACAAAGGTTCCAAAATAAAATTTTGAAAGAAATCGTGAATGCTCCAAAATACGTTCTCAATTGGTTGATACATCAAGATATCAGAATTCAAACTATAGAAGAAGAAATTAGTCTTTACTGCTCCAGATACCAAGGTCGTCTAAGTCGTCATCCAAACGAATTAGCGTTAGATCTGCTCAAGCCTTTACCACCAAAGCGTCTCAAAAAAGAATCTGCAATGATTTACTACAAAATATCACATAACATCTAAGAAGGTGCTATCGCTGGATAGCGATCCTTTTCACGCAGTCAAATAATATATACCAGTCAAATAATATATAGCTGAATGTACTTTGTATAGTTTGCTATGATAAATAAATAAAAAAAAAGAAAAAATAGTGGTTTCAGCAAAATCGTCACCAAAGTTCAAATATCAATCACATAGGAACAGCTAGTGCAATCTTTACCAAAAACTAACCATCATGATTTCAAATTCTCAAAATCGATTCCGACTTTTTGGCAATACTTTTGACGAAATATTTAGCACTTGCATGCTAATTATAAATAAGTAAGGGATTGGCCTATCGTCATGCTAATAATATTTGGGATTTCTAATCGAATTTCAACAAAAGAGTTTTAAATTGGTGCAGTGGTTTTTGAAAGACCATTTTTGGTGTTAAGCGATTCAGAATGACCTCAAATATACAGAAAACTGTAATGTTATCAAATCACAAACTTCTCCTTCAGGAAGTTAACAATTCCTCCTTCCCCAAGTGAAATTTCCCCGCGGTTAATCTTGTTTTCAACTGAAAATGTACACTGGCGTATGTGAATTGGGAAAACATAACATTTTCCATATATTACCGCCGAATCGCCATTTCCCTCCACCGTCTGCATGTAACAACAAGTTTAGCAAAAATTTATTACACGAATATTGCATTACTCAAGTACCGACAGGGGGCGGTACGGTGTGGTACAAAGCTTTGGAGCTTCGAGCTTCGAGCTTTGGAGCTTCGAGCTTTCATTGGAAGCACACAAATGCAAATGTTATGGGCAATACGAGAATGGGATTGGGAAAATGAATCAGAAAACCACTGCAAAAATGTAAAATAATCTATAAAATATGAATAAAGTACACAACTGAATAATGGTACAAAACTTTTTGAACTAGTCGTAAGTGGTGACTTTTCCTCGAGTTATATAAAATAGCTTTCAAATATATGAACTCGGTTTAGCCAAACTGTCAGACATTGGCCCACATATATACACATGCTTTTCCAAATTAGGTGGCAAACCAAAACCAAAAACCTTTGCCAATAGAATTTTCTGGCGAAAACAAAACTTCTTCTCGCAAAATTTTGATAATACACTATATATAAATATTCAATAACGCAATAATATTGATATTCGAATACATTAAATTTCATACACGTGAAAACTTCTATATGCATTACCATTACAATTTCAAATAAACATAATAGCATTAAATCCAAAATTGACACCGTTTGTGATACGCAAAGATAATTATATTCCATTTGAAATAATATACAGACAGAAAAACAAATTAATGCTCTCACATAACAAATTAATACAAAATAGGTATTTATTTAAACCAGATTTAACACTATCGATCACATTGAAATAGTAATTAAATTTATAATTACTACCATGGGACATTCAATTTCATTAGGTACAGTTGTATACTTTTATCGAAAGTATTGTTTTACACCGACACGTTTTATTTTCACATAAACACAATTTATGAAAATCGAATCGAGCCCTTGGCGCCCCGTTAAAGGGATGATTATATGCATATTGAAGAATCGAAAATTTCGAACAAACATGTCCGGGTGAGCTTGAATATAATCATTCTTGGGAACGAGAGGGTGTTCGCATACACACATGCAAATATAATTTACAATTATTTACATTTAGTTACAAAACCCATCGGAATATTACAAATGCGATTACTCGCGCCGCTGCAATAGATTTTAAATGTAGTCAGTTCGATTCGAGATAATTAAATATTTTCTGTTTGAATTATTCCGGAATCTTTATCGCACTGAAATACATATAAACATTTGCCATATTGACAAAGATTACTAAAGTTGAGTAAGTTCGAGATTTAATAGCTTTCTTGAAGAAAAACTTATTAAAAGTTTACAGACTTTAAAATATAGTACAACACCTCTTGCTTATAAGAGGACAACTTGAGCAATTTTTATGCTGCGTGAAAAGTTCATCAAAATATTAAAGTTTGTTGTTACTTTTTGTAAGGGAATAGGATTTTAAATATTGTAGAGTAATAATTGTTTGAAAATAAATAATAATGTACTTTCGCATTGAGAAAAAAACATAAATTAAAAAAAAAACAAAATTAAAAAAAAATATTAGACTTCCATGCATTTCCACCAAATTAACTCTTCATCAGTGGATAAAACTACAGAAATATTTAGTATACAATTTTATGTCGTTTTTGTAGATTTATCTACTGAAAAAGAGCCAAATTAAAATTAGAGACTAATAAATTTTCTTTGGAAACATAATTTAGTTATCTTTCGAAATTAGTCCATTGGAGTATGTGGAAGCACACGCATTTACATTTTCCTTGCTCAACTTGCAATGCATTATATAAATTATTATTATAATTAGCATCTGTAATTAATCCAAGAACCTTTAAATACAGAGTGTTCTATCATCAGTTCATCAGTATAATTAAATTGATTTCAAACCAGAGCAGACTTAAAGTCCAGACGAAATAAAGTACCCACTTCCTACCATATGCTAATTTCTGTATAATATACGACTTGCTCTAATCTCTTTGTTGCAGACGCTGTACCTGATTTCAATTTGTAAGTGTCACTATAACTCCCTTTTATTTCGTTGCCTTTAAACCCCTACATTATTAAAATACCAATTATAAAGTTCATTTAGCCAAAGGCACATCCAAAGAGGACTAACTAGATATGGACTAAAATGATTTCAACTAAGCAAAAGGGCGAGGGCGAATTTCGTTTCGTTGCCAATGTCGAATAATCATTTATATATATGCGATTTAATAATATCAAACATAAGCCTTATAAAATGCATAATATGAGGGGAATCATTTCAAATACTGGATACATGAAACCTTTTTCGCTTTTCGAGCACAGTGGGGGCACCAATCACTTATATTTTATTTCCATTTCAAGCTTCGGAAGATATTGGAAGTATTTAGATTGACAAACTTGGGAGGGATGTGATTTATTTGATTTTTTACTTAAGTTGCCAATCAATGACAGAGTGAGAGTGAATGAAGAATTAATTTTAAATAAACAGAAATAAAAATATTTAAGATTAGAATCAACAAATTGTAAATACGTGTACTGTTCTTTTTTTCTAAAATATTAATTTTCATATTTTTGATCCTATTTATTTCGAGTTCCACGAAATACTATAACTGTAACTGAAACGTATGAAATTTAAAATAATTTTTTTTAAAACATTTTCTTTATTGAAGTCCGATTATTACACCTTGTGAATACATAGGTCAACGTCTTATTCTAATTATGCAAAAAATGTGAAAAACACTTAAATATCAAGACTCGAAATATTCCTCGTACAAACAAATCATACCATTACTACCATAATACTCGTATTTTAAATCATTAACAAATCGTATAAGTTCTCATTTATCTACCTCCTAATTAACTCCAACATCTCGCTGTTTTAGATCATTTAATTCTCTTTCTGTTTCATCATGAGAGTGAAAGTGCAAACGGAAGGTTTTTTAGTAATTCGATTTGATTAGAATGGAAACATTTTCCTATACTACCCCCACACCAAAATTTCGATGGATTTTCAACCCCTGTTTTAACGTATCACACGACCATTTTCGTTTTAATACGTTTAGCTTCAGGCTGTGCAAGGGTTCTCAATATCAGGAGACGAACAAAAAGTAAATAGAGAGATTTTTTTATAAAACACCTGGATAAGGGTTGAAAAATAGATAGACTTAAAAAAAGAAAATATAAGTAAAGGGAGAAAAAAATTAAAAAACGCACAAAATTTTTGAACTAGTTTGTACTTGAATTTAGATATTGGACAAGAAATGAAGCAATTTTTACAATCAGATAGACTTTTCTGCAAATTTCAAACAAAAAGTAATTGAAAAAAATATATATACATTTAAGGTCTATTACTTCCATATAAGATGTTAATAAATAAAGTAGGTGGTTATAAAAAGAATGCTATTCAATAATCAAATACATTTTCCCATACATTAAAAGGATCAGCTGTTTATTGAAAAATTATTATCCAATTTTCTGAAAACACGTAATGATTCAACTAATTTATTATAAGAATTTTGATTATTACTACATTTATATTTTATATATTATATAAATAATATATTGTGTTAAGAAGAAAAAATAAAATTTGGCTCTCTAATCTAATTATATTATAAGAAAACGCTAAGTGTTATGACTACTTTTATGATTTTGTTAGAAATATATTAGATAAGCTGTAATATACGTAAATAAATACCAATAATATAATAGTAATTACCCGTATCACTTCACTAAATATTTTCATTAAATTCTCAATTAATGTATCAATTAGTTTATCATGTATGTTTAAAAAAATAAACTAATAGTTAATATGATTTCATACGATCAAAGTCAATTAAAATTCAAATTATTTTTCCTTTAATCATAAGAAAAATCTGCAGAGCACTTTATTTAATGTTCGTAGGGTCACAGCATCCCCTTTAAATTGTGCAAGGTGTAATGACCGTTTCTGTGTATAAGGGAGTTTTACGTTAATAACACTACATGTACACAAACATACACATGATGTATTCACATATACATATATACCTTTATATATATATATATATATATATATATATTTATATGAATGTCTGTTACCCCTTATTGCGTTTCACGCCCCCTATGAATCGGCGCCACGTGACCGCCAGGGAAGAAATTCAGGAGGTTGCCTAACCCATGTGGAAATCGAGTTACGTCATTAATAGATGCATTGTGCATTTGGGCTTCCAGTAATAACTTATTTTTCATACAAAAGAGCAAAATATTGAATGAACGGAATCGATGAATTCTATGAAACCACACAACTTCATAGAAAATAATCGTGACATAGAAATGTTATGCCAGAAATTTAATTGTCACTTACTCTTGCTAAATATGGACGTAGAAAATAACTTTTCCATACTAATAATAGAAAATTTAATGTTATTAAGTTAATGGTAATGATAAGGTAATGTTATGTTATAATATTGAATTAGAAAAATCATAATGCTTTCATATTTGCAGATACCATAAAATCAAAAGAAGAATCAAAGAGGGTACTAAATTTTCAAATATATTTTTTAAGAATTATTAATCTACTTTTTGCGTTCATAAGTAACATATCTGATATTCTTTGAAATCAAATATCGCAGGTCCAACAATTAAATATTATCAATATTTCCAAACAATAATTACAATGATCAAGTGCAAGGTTTATTACCATGAGACATTACCGACATACCACGAAGTCCTCATAACAAATATGGGCATTTCAGGCACGTATCCTGCTAAGTTAATCCTCTTCATTGACATTTATGCTGATTTATAGCCGACTAATCCTATTTTAAGCAACATTACTGCCCGAACATTATCATGCCCAGCATGTCACATATTGGCCTAATAAAATTTTAACTGGCGCGCATATGCCGCAGATGAAATGCGACTACTCTCAATAGCAGAATGAATTTTGTGTACTTCATACACAGGATTTTTTTACATTTTTCCATATTCAAATCTGTACAATTCTATGTCTGTTTTTTTTTTTTATGTTCACAACGTGGTTTTCAAATCTATTGATTAAAATATATTGTTTACACGATGCATATGCATACGTATTCCGATATTTTTAGATATGCTGGGAGTATTTTATTGTTGGAATTGAATATTAATTTATATACTAAATTGTAAACAAAAGTAAATAAAAGTATATTCAAAAAGATTTTCTTCTCATTTACAAACATCAAATACGTAACATAAAAGAAGCAAGTTGTGCAATAACAAACTTTTCTATATTTTTTTCGTTTAAAACGAAATTAACAAAGTTTAACATGTTTCACTATCGTAACGTGCGTTTGAAGGAAAAAAAGAAGAAAAAACGTTATTCAGCGCATCTAAGTTTTATTCGTGATAAAACAACAAATATTCAAAAAATAAAAATGAAATTGTTAATTAATATTTTAGTTGCATATCTCTTTGCAAGTTTTTTAATTAAAATCTGTAGCCAACAGATACTCAGTAGATACGGATAGGAATTCGAGTCGAAAATACTAATAGAGGAGGAAATCGTGGAAAGTATCTTGATGGCGAATTGAAAAAAAACTAAACTAACAATAATCAGGCATAATAATAATGATATAAGGGTAAATGCCAATTGCCTGACGACTAAACACAATAGTCGCACAAAAAAAATTTTTTATTAATGCAGCAATGCCTGGTGAGGAATATTTTCACATATAAATATATTTCATCTGTATTGTATAATCATGAAGTCAAAATCATGTAATCACATTTAGGTCACTCTAAATAGAATTCTTAATTGAACTAAAATAAATAAGTTGACCACTTAAACAACGTTGGCTACAAAGTCGCTTTTGCAACATCTCATTTCATCTCTATGGCTCAATTACTACACCTCCTTTCCGCCAGAACTCGCTCTGTATTTACCAAAACTTCGGCATTAATCAAAGGCAAACATCAAAATTGCGCAATTAGATAAACAAGCCATAACTATAACTAAATATAACACGACTCCACATGTGTATCAATCAAACACTCATCGGATAAATATTTTATGCAAAAGTTGTAAAGCAGTAACTAGCTTTGACAAGTGACACAGATAAGGGTCTTAGGAAGGAAGGATGTGTGTCACGTCTCATGATATGTAAGATTAATGATGGAATGCGCGAATAATGATGATATAAGATGATCGCGCCTTCTGGAAACAGAATTACGGAGTTTTAAAAAAAGATCCACATAAGCCTGTAGTCGGCTTCGTCTCTGGTAGTCTATTTATCTCAGGCGGATAACCGTCCGAGGGCTTCGATAAATTTAACTTAAGGAAAAGACTTGCCATACAGATTCGGAATTATTCTTACATTGGAACGAAATTAATACTGTTCACGACAAAATCTCATTATTCACGCTAAATTTTATTTCACCACAATATTAATTACCTTTAAATAATCATTTCTCAATCCACATCCACACGTCGACTTATATTTATCGAGGCTGAATTAAAAATCCATTTATACGCATATTTAAAATGCATTAGAAAACGCGAATGATAAATTCCTTAATTAACATATAGCATGCAGCAACGCGGCAGTCGAGTCATGTCATTAATTACATTTCTTATCATTAACAACTTAATTATTTTCATTAAAAATAAACTATTTCGCGTTTTCTAGCGCCGTAAAAATAGTAAAAAGTCCTCGGAACAAACGAACGCCGAAAGTATCCGTAACTCGCGGCCAGTTGGAAGTTGGCGGAACAAGAAAAACTTCCGTGGGCGAGAGGTAAAATAAATTATAAAAAGTTTACAGAAAGTCGTATTACGTAATTAATGAGGATATATATCGCTTAGTGGTGGAATATAACGTCAGTAATAAAAAGAAAAACAGACAATGTACTGCCCTGCTGATTTACCGTAAAATTATGGCAACAAAATGTTTACAAATCGCATGGGTATTGAATTTTTGGCCTTATGATTTTACTGCAGAAATCAAATCAAGAAACTGAGTATTTATATATAAAATCTTGTAAATCGACCCTTAAGTAAATAATAAGGGTCAATATTTACCAGCTGAATGATCAGTAATTATTAAATCGCCCAGAAGTATAGAATAAATATTAACACAAAATATTTTCGAAGTGAACTAGGCATAGGTAGCATTTTGACTTAAGAAAACTTTCATGAACTACCCAATATGTGTAAATAATTGATATCCCCAATCAATCGATTTAATCCATCTGTCTACCAATGTACCTGTCTAAGAGTCTACTTTTCTATTTGTCTATTTGCGTACCAGTCCCACCTGCCTACCTGTCTACTTTTATACCCGTCTTCCTATCTGTCTATCTGCCTACCTGTATATCTATCTAGTTTATTTGTATTATGTATGATCACAATTACAGGCATTGCATAAAAATATCTTTTCAATGTAGAATTATTAAAATGAATACAAAATCTAACGTGCTTTTTTAGTCACTCATCTCTCATATTTTTAAACTATTCTTTATTATAAAAAGCATGTGATCACAAATTCGTCTCTAAAATAAATGGGGATTCTAAAACAATTTCAAGAACAGTAAATTTTTAAGAGGTTTTTAGATGAGATCTGAAATCCCGAAAGGGATATTACAATGAAGCAGATGGCATCAACGATGGAAACTATAATATTTTCCTTATAAAGATCTAAAAGATAAAATTTGTCGAAGATTTTTTGGAATAATGACTGCTGAACAAAATATGTTCAAAGTAAAATTTTAATTAAAAAAATGATGTTTTTAAGAATACTTACCCTAAAATCGCCCCCAGCTCCATCGTCCAGTTCCAGGACATACCCTTCGATATGGCTTTGGGGCGGAGGCTGCCAAGCAACAGTCACGGAGTTATTTTCAGCACTGCATTCCTCGGGAATGATTATAGGAGCATTTGGTGCTAAGGGATATGATAATTAAAATTATTTATTGCTCACGACATACTTATTGATATTTCACAAAACTATAAATATCTATCGTCTCTATCGTCTTAACATATACTTTGTCGCATTCTCCTAAGGCATATGATAAATACATCCTACTGTAGATAAACACACTGATTTATTGATCTATTAAATATACATATAACTGTACTAGATAATTATATATTTATGCATTTACAATTCGAATGGCGTATGAGAAAAACCACTCAAGTCTCAGGACAGAATTAAGTGTGAGTTTTTTGAGTGTCAACTGAACACTCGGATGATTAATTGCAAAATGTGAGAATGCTTTCAAGAAATGAAGGCGTTGATTGAATAACTCTACACTTGGTAAATAAAATTTCAAGGGTTATTAATTACTACTAAATTTTTTCATACAATGTACAATATGTAGTATCTACATAATCTTTGATCACAAGTGCATATCAACTAATTTTATTCGTGTCTATCGATTACTAATTGGTTTCACAACATCGACAGGTGTTATTTAATCCATTACCTGCGAATTGTCTTTCCTCGCCATCCTGTGCAGCTGTTTTGCAATTTAACGAAATATACTGTTATATAATAATGCTCAAACAACTATATATTATATTTGATATTTTTATAGATTCATTATTCATTGTAACGCTAACATGCTCACGCCAACCTGTCAAAAGTTCATGCACAATTTCTCTTTACATACTCTATTTACGATCATACATAAAAAATAATAATATTTTTATGGGAGAATAGAAATAGAACTGAAGTAAATTTTAATAAAAATATAACAGAATAAATTAAAACATTATTTTATAAAAACCAAAATTTTAGGTATATATAGATATAGGAATATGTGAGCTAGCCAAAAATACTTCGATCCCAAACTCAGCCAGCTCGATATCAAGCAGTGTGATCTACTTTTTTCTTCTAGAATATTTTTTTCCCATTGACCTATTTTTTTCCATTAACGATGTACTTCATACAAAGCTTCAATTCGATTATACACCCGTAGTTCATGTTATAAAAAATCCCGTTGTCCTACAAACAGCGTTTTCCGCATACTAAAAAAAGTTATCGCTGATTTATAGTGACACAGTCGAACAGTACGTTTTGACTTTTATCTGAAAACAAAAATCGCAGGTCAAAATACAACGTGAGCAAAAGATTCCGAGTTCGAACGGTTTTATCATTTGCATTCGATCTAGCCCAGGGGTAGTCGACTTAGAAAAGACAGTAATAGACTTTTAATAATCATTAGTTTTAAGATATAATAGTTTAACACGTTAAACACCATGGCAGTCATATGTGTCTGACCTTAAAAAGTGAAAAATGTGTCACGTCAGACATTGCAACTACAATACACCGAGAAAAAAAGTTTTAATATAGAATCATGTCAGTCATAAAGGGTGAGATGAAAACAGTGGGTTTCCAAAAATGTTGGCAGTGTTTGTTCCCAATACATTAAGTTTCTATGATGAATTTTTAATTAAAGTATCTATTAAAGTCACCATGGCTTTATCTGACTAAAATTAAACTAAATTATCTAACTAGCAAACCCGACGAACTCCGTTTCGCCACCAGATGGTTTCGTGAGAAAGATGAAGAAATTTTTTGTTTGTTTTATATTTGAAAAAGAAAAATTTGATTTTATTACATAACAGTAATGAATTTATTTCGATTACAAATGAAATTCTAAGCAAATGAAAGTGAATCCGCAAATTATCCGTTTCATTGTTGTGCTCTTTGGACCACATTTTTTGTTTTTTGGTCTGACGTTAACACAAACAAAGCGGATGGTTTTCCAACTCGTGAACAGACAACGTATAACTGCCAAACCTGAAGTCAAACAAAAGACCAGTCGGAATCATTGGTATGTCACCAAATCGCCAGCAATTTTTGATTGAATGGTGAAATTCAGAGCGTGTATATCATTATTATTCGCGGCAAGAATTGCTCGTTGACTTAACCAAGCATAATTCTGATAATTCTTACTAATGCCATTACTCGAATTTTTAATTACGGTGCGTGAAGTTCCAGCAATTTGCATTAAGGCACGATGCCATGCACAAATAATTTTCTTAGCTATAAACCTTGCGGAGCCCGAGACCTTACCAACGAATGCATGGTTCGTGCGTTCTGGAGTTATTTCGTCAGGAAGGAAAACCCGACTTATTTTTATATATATGTAGATATCAAAGCAAGTATTTCTCAGAATTGAAGAACACCAGGATATTTTTTTACTGATAAAATCTAAAATAGATAACAACTCAATTTCGGAGTTGCACATAGCTAGAATAAATTCAATTTCAGAGCAAAGATTTTCCAGAATGTAGTTACAGGATCTATTTTGCTGGTAAAGCATATTCAAACCGACCTATATATAGTCGGGAGACATCCTGCTGATGAAGCATTTTCTAGACCACCGACCTATATAAGGAAAGTTGTAACGATTACAGGTGGAGGAATATTTTTACCAGTCTTTACAGATCATACAACCGTTGGTTTATAAGCATTATACATTTTTTATAAATAATATTATTTTATTTAAATATCAGTTTCCGAGTGCCCCGCCGCTGAACGGGTGGCTCGGTTTGCAACGCGGCCGACTCTATCGGCGAACGAGCGGCCCGGGGCGAGCCATCGATAAACGGCACAACGCTTCTGAAAATGATTTATTTCTCGCCGCGCTGTAAAATTATATCGGCGGTTTTACTTCTTTTTTTATCGGAAACCTCTTGTTCGATTCATTGGCCGGATATAATTTTTACCAGCGGGTGGCTAAAGTAAAAGCACGTGGTGCTACGTGACAAAGTGCCACTATTAGCAGGGAATAATAGAGGTGGTCGTTTTATTGGAGTTATCAAAATGCGATTCCATAGTTGAAGTATGATTGAAAAATTATGAAAACTTTAAATTGCGAACAAAGTTTCATACAATTCATACGTAATATATGATCTGGTATGTAAAACGATATATCTATGATGATTGTAAAAAATCATAAAACAATTAAATTCCAAATATACCAAGATACTTATTAATTGGGTGTGGTTTCCTTGTAAAAACACAGTTCAAATCTAAAAAAACTAATTTAAACTCATGTGCATATTATAATTTCAAATTAAATTCGAAAGTGTAAAAAAATTCTTACCCAAGTCAATGCCCTATTAAAAGTTAAGAGTAATAATATCTTTTACATTTCTCTTTACAACGACTTTATTCATTTAAATATTGTCTAATGAACACCGTATAAAATAAGTAAATCCCCAACTGACCCAAATTCACATAATCCTTATCCCAGTTAATTTATATAGCAAAAGCCACATTTAACTAGGATATATATCTTGCTTATGGGTTTATTATATTATCCGTTACCCAAGAAGTCTCTAATAGTTGATGAACATGTAAATCGAAGAAAAATCATTTAAAGAATGGTGGCAGGTTGTGAATGTTTTACTATATCGCGTGCCTTTATACTATCAATAAGGTTAGGCTATCTGATTGTGTAATACATTATTTATTTTCATAATTTATTGTATGAAATTTATTTCGCTTAAACATAATGCAGATTAATGCTTCTGATAGTTTCGGATTTCGATCCAATAGAACCGACTTGTTGGAACGAGAGAACAGCGTGATAGAAAATGTATGCAAATGTACACAAAATATGAAAAAAAAAATTATTTATTTTTTTATATAAAATTTAAAAAATCCCTGAAATTATATGTAGCAAAAAACTTTTAAAAATCAGATTTTTCTTGTTTAAAATTAGATTTCGAGTGTAACTTTGATGTATAATACTACTGAATTCGCTGAAATTATCAAATTATGAGTTAAACAATGAAAATACCTACATATATGTTCATTGCAAATATAAAGTTAACTCTAACGTAAAACAAGAGGAAACCATGAACGAGTTAATTAAATTACTTACAGATATAGACTTAATGAAACAAACAATGTATGAGTAAATAGAGGTATATATTGAGGAAACCATATTAATGAAAATAACTTGCTAAAATTGAAAATGCTCGAGAAATATAATTTAATATGAACTCGATTAAATTCGTAAATTTCTAAGATCACAAAAACGTAGCTTAAAATAATATAAATTGGTGTCGATTTCGCATTTTTTTGCCCTTTAGCAATTTTGTAAGGTCTTGATATTCAATGTAAGTTAGCTAAGATAATATAAAAAACTATATCTCTACTCAAAAGCTTTGACAAATTTCATTTTGTAAATGTGTATCTCGTTTAAAACAGTATTGCCATAGTGTGTGGATTGGAGTTGTTTTCCAATTTATAAAAATAAAATATAGCCGGATTAAGAGTTTCCTCTATAGCGATTATTTGACATTTGATAATTGAAATATTCTTTAAAGCATTTACTATACCATTGAAAATGGTTATTAAACTGTTCCAAGTGCGATAGTAACTAAGTTAGTCAGCATCTGAATACAAACAAGTACAAAACGCTTGTTGTAATTTCATTAGAGCTGGATCCAACATCCAACATCCAACTTGATTACAACAACTGAATCGCATGGCTGCTGAATCGCGGTTCTATTACAACTTGTAACAATATATAAATTGTCGTCGTTTTAGGAGTTTCGCGCAATGTAACTGGATGTGTATAATCAGCAACGGCAATTACGATGTTACGCGACCTCCCGTTGCAGCACTTGGCAAACTACCAGCAGACTGGAACATCTGTTGCGCCCAACAAACGCAGCACTACGAAAATTGCCCGAATCCCTCGACTTCAACGAATAAATTATTCACAAAATCATACACGATATGTACGACTGCTTGCCTTACACGCACGCCATCATTGAGATCATGCATTTAACATAAGACATACATCTCGGGAAGGAAGAAATCAGGACACGGAAGTAGGTGAAAATTGCCTTAACGGGTGAATGGCACTATAACGCCAAATTGTTTTCCACAAAATTCTCCATTCCCAATATTTTTATATCATAACACCGCTATTCAGGTATCATATATATTGATTTATTATTATATAAAACCTTATAACTGTAATACGATTATATTTGATTCAAACACTCGATAAATAAATCTGTGTATCATTTGAAAAATAATATTGTTTCATGCTATCAACAAATTTCAAAATAGTTTTAATTGAATATTAAAATTTAATTTTAATTTTAAAGCCTATTGAATATTTATGCGATCATCCAATTTAAGTTTTAATTATACATTGTTTACATACCTTTAATCATCATATTCGCATGATATGGTTTTTTCATTATTTTATTTTAATGAAAATATATTAAACATGGAACGTGGATTGTTTTTCATCGTATTATCAACGAATAGCCAACGATATGATTATAGTAATAGGAGTGAAAATAATGCATAACAAACAAAATAAATAAGCTCTATCGAATCGAAAGTTTGAAAGTAATATTCATAAGCCTATTTCTCTATAAAATATCTGATAATTTGATGTGCATATGATCATTTTGACCGCCAAATGGCTTTTTTTTTACTTTTTTCGTTCGATCTCCGAAATCGCTAAACCTGCCCTTATGAAAAATTGATCAAATCTTTCATCTTGTCAATACAAGTAAAATGTTTTTTGAATTATTAAAATCGGAGGCTCCGTTCTCTTAAAAACTGAGGTGCCGTTTTTGGCACTTTTTACCCATATCTTCGGAACGACTAGACCTACCTCCGCCAAAAACTAATCAGCACGTCTCCTTATCAATACGGATCGAAGGTTTTTTAAATTATTCAAATTGCTTCATCCGTGTTCCCGAAATCGTCGACGAAAATTTGTATCCGCACGCACACACATACATACATACATACACACACACACATACATCCATTTTTTCTAAGGTATGCCAAAATATTCAGAAACTGAAACGTAAAGATATAAAAAATTCTCATTTTCGATTTTTTTGCGATTACTATAACTTACCCTACGGGAAGTTAAAAATGATAAAAAATCAAGTTTATAGGGTTTTATAAGGTTTATGAAGTTTAAACGAAAAATGAACCATATCAAATACTACAAATATTCATATATTAATTTAAAGATTTATTATCAATTATTCATTTCCTTCACTCACACGATCTCACACATATGTATCAATATATATGGAAAAATTCTATTTTTACTCACGTTTCATTTGTATGAAGTTCAATTGATCGATTGCCCTGAGAACGGCCTTGTCGTCCAGCGTGAGATCGACCTGGTGAGAGACACGCGGCGTGGCCTCCTGCACCTCCCGATGCCAGGCGATGTCCGTTTGCGCCACTCGGGCTATAACATTGAACCCACCTGGTCAAAAAAATAAATACAAATTATATAATAGAGGAAATAGATATCAGATCTCTGCAATCATCAAAATTGTAAAATTAGAGAGTAAGCATTTTAAAAGTTACTTATACGTAAAAGTTTTATTGTTCATCATACTTATTTGATACAGAACTGCAAAATCTAATTTTTTTGTAAATAACATTGTGTGGAAATAATTCGCTACTTTCTAGTAGAGTATAGTAGGTAAAATCAAGTTATAAAAACTCTTTAAACATTAATTTTCACTCAATAAAAACAAAACAGATAAATTATTTTTATTCCTACCTGTAAAAACGCAGCACTGTCCGTTTCTTTGAGGGCCTCTATACAAAATTGTATTAAACCTGTCGTGTGTTGTAATTTTCCTGTAGCAGTTGATGCCTGGTCCTAAATTTAATCAGGGCATAAAAATCAATATTAAAATAGGTACTAAAGTATTTCAGAAATATAAAAAAATATAAAATACTTGAGTTGAGTGAGTCTGAGTTTAGCTTCTCTATCACATCGTATTGCCTCTAGGAGATAATCTCGCCTATTTAAAATAGCTGTGATCAATGCATCACATTGTGCTGTTACTAAGTGTTCAAATTCTGTACATGATTCCTGAAAAAAAATAAAAAATATTAATATTTATAATCATAATCAATGATTAACAAAAATGCGAATTAAACTCACCATAACCTTGTCACTCATCCCTTTTAGCCGTTGTATGAATTCTGTCGTAGACCTCGCTTTTTCAGAAAGCTGTTGCAGATTTTGGGATAATTCAGTCTGAAAATAAGATAATACATGTGTTAAATTATTTATTGATATGGAATTTAATATATTTGGATAACATATAATATTGAATTAGGATTGTTAGCTAAATTGTGTGGTGTAGTATTTCTTCTACACAATGCGACTATAACAATTTAATTCACATTAGTTATTATAATTCCAAAACTTTATGCAAACACGCTCGCCTAATGTTGATATTATCCTGAAACTTTTCAGAGAATGTTTGATAAAGCTGCAGAGAGTTGTTTGTTCTCGTTTGAAGGAAAATAAATCATTTTAAATGCCACGTTTCGTTAGCCTTCCTCTCTCCCTCGAATGCAAACGTATATATCTGCTCAACGAATGTTTATACTTGGGAAATTAACTTAAATATTTCTCGACTGTATTTACCTTGCTCGTATACCCAAAGTTAAATAAATATTATTCAGAAGAAACTTTCAACTTAAATAGTTTTATATTAGTTCGCGTAATTGATTATTAGCATGCCAGAGCGCAATTGGGAATGCATAGTTCGCAGTGATGTTTTCAAAATGTAAACGAGAAATTATTTTGTAATTATGGACAATTATTTCGTTGAATGAGATGAGATGAAAAGTTCTTGTTGATTAACTTTGAGTTATGAAATTTTGTTTTAAATAAACGATGGATAATGCTATTTCCGCTTTATGAGAACGCGGAATTTATTATATAATTTTGCACTCATAACTTTGTGAATAGGATCGTTATGAAATTTAGATTAGCATTTATTAAACTAAATTTATCATGTCATATTATTTACATCCCTAGTATGTACACATCAAAAATTACGTATATGTTGAATATTGAAACAGTTCAAGTGGAATTAATCGTTCGGAATTCAATATTGCGGTATGTTTTCCGTAGTACGGGGTGCTCAAGTACTCCAATATGATTTTGGAAGGATTATACATTATGTCAGATTACTATTACTATATGATATGTCTGCATGATCGGATATTAGTGAGTTTATATAACAAGGGACGACTCAGACGGATTAGGTAGATTCTGATTTTAGATCATGGAAAAAGAATATGGG